ATTATTATTATTTATTATTATTATTATTATATATTTTTGTGGAAATGTTTACTAAAACTAAAATGTTTAATTTAAATGTTTAATTTAAAAATATCATTAAGTTGCACCACATGACATTTTGTGGCCTAAACTAATTTTTCCTTATAAAATTGTCAAATTATTTGACATTTTAAGAGTCTTCTTTTAAATAATAATTAAATAATTTATCTGCAAATTAATCTTAAACTGAAATTTAAAAATATGCTCATCATAGAAGATGTGTATAAAAGGCATTGTATGTATTTTTTATGTATTTTTGAATGAATGAATGAACCAAAAAATAGCATCAATAAACTGAGATTCATTTCTGATCTATCTGCTTACAAAGCCGGTTGTGTATCTCTGTGTTTAGTCCAGCCTCTTGCGCTCCTGCTGTCCATTATGTTGTGTGACACACTGGCAGAGGCTTGATTGATGGCAGGTAGATGCCACTTACTGGGCACAGGCTGCTTTTCTGGTTGCTTTGTTGCTGTTGTCTTCTTGGGTCAGGCTCTGGACGATAAGAACCAGATGCAGACCCTGGCCCTGTCCCAGTTCAGGCCCTTGGACTCGGATGAGTTGAGTGTCAACTGGATTATGTTCCCGGTGAAAAGTGGTCCGGCCAGACTTTAATTATGCAGGAAGTGGACTGTCCTATTCTTTCTGCTTCACGCCGCAGGCTCATATCATGATGGAGAGACCTTGTGTTGTTACAAAGGGTGTTTTATGCACCTGTTGAATAAATCCAAGGCATTTGTGGTAATGTAAGACAGAGATAATACCTATAATATATAATTTGACAAACTGACATTAGCCAGTCATTAAATGGGTATAAAATAAAATATCATCAGAAGTTTATTTAAAACTCAATGCAGTGACAAAAGTATGGGATATTTTTTGCATTAACCGACAAATATGACAATATTAGTACAAAAGTCTTGATGTTTGTTTGTGTTGATGATTGATTCATCAGAGGAGCATTTCCATTTTCCATTTGAAGTTTCCAAGTTAAGTTTAGTTTAGTTTTTTCCCCCTCTTCTATATAACCATAATATGTCTTTTCTATCACCCAATTTGAAATTTTATTTTATTTTATTTATTAATTGTTCCTCTACAAATCGAAACATTTCTTACTATTATCTATGTTAATTACAGTTGTGCTGCTTAATATTTCTGAAACAGGAAATTTTTTTCCCAGGATTATTTAATGAAAAGAAATAAATATTTTGTAGCGATATAAATGTCTTTAATGTCTTTAATGTCACTTTAACGTGCATCCTTGCTCAATAAAATAATTAATTAAATCTTACTGACCCCAAACTTTTGAATAGTAGTGAAGAAATGTTACAAATTGTCATTATGATTGGAACAGAAATATATTCTTTAATCAAAATAATGCAAAACATTTCATGGTGAGGTCAGAAATATTAATTGCCAGTAAATGTTTTCAATAAACCTGCGACTGGACCCTAATTTGACAGAACAGCAAAGTGACAGACATTATATGAACTCAGTAAGAGCTTTGTCATCATCCATTTATCCTCCATCTCACCCTGCTTTCATTGACACCGTGTGTCTGCTATTTTCTGCTATTTTCTCTCCATCAGTCGGTCTGGCTCAGCATCTGTCTATTCTCGCACTCTTTTCTGGGTAATTATATAAACTGGCAAACCCGTGGTGTGGCAGTTTGGCGTTCCAGCATGTCCTCGGGTGAGAAGCCGCTAATGATTGAGCCCCACTGGGACGCTGCTCTGTAGGTCACCGGCAGGTGCAAATGGCTCTGTCATTACCTCTCGCTGGCAGCTTATGGAGGAGACCATCAAATGATCCATTTGCTTTTTGGCCCAGGAAAGAGAGAGATAGGGAGACTCAGGATGGAGAGCTCCCGCGGGTGCATTCACACGGTGAGAGACACTCCGTTATCGATCTGCTCTCCTGTACTGACAGTCGTGTGACTGTGCGTGGCAGCGGGGAGGAAGAGAAGAGAGGAGCGACTCTGAGTGAGTTAGACTGTAGTCCAGCACACAATGCTCTTTTCTCACTCTTGTTTGGAAAGCGGGCTGGAAACCGAGTGCCTTGAGCTAGTTTACTTCAAGTGTGGTTGTCATGTTAGAGCAAAATGTAGGTTATATGAATAATCATACCATTTAGTATGTTTTTTAAAGACATTTGGTTTACAAGGACACAGGAAGACGTGCTCTCATAAACCATGTTCACCTACAGTGAAAAAAGGTACAAAAGCTGTCACTGGGGCAGTACCTACTCAAAAAGTCACTTTAGGTACTGATGCGTACCTTTAAGGTAGCAGTATGGAGCCTTTAGGTACAACGATTTATCCTTTGAATAGGTACCTTCCCAGTGATAGCTTTTGTACCTTTTTCCTATCCATATGTATGTTAATGTTTTTGTTAGTGCTGTCAAACAATTAATCACGATTCATGGCATTCAAAATAAAAGTTTCTGTTTGCATAATATATGTGTGTGTACTGTGTATATTTATTATGTATCAAAATACAATAAAAATAATAGTACTGTGTAACATTATTACAGTTTAAAATGTTTTCTGTTTTAATATATTGTAATATATATATATATGTATACATAATGTAAAATGTTATTTATTACTTTGATGCAAAGCTGAATTATCAGCAGCCATTACTTCAGTCTTTAGTATTATGATACTTTAATAATATTTGTAATTAATCATTCTATAATATAATATAATATAACATTACATTATCATAGCTCCAAAGAAAAATAAATGATTTTTTAAAATAACTGAAACTATAATTTGTGTGTGCTTTAAAAATGTAAAATATTAAATTTTAACATATTTGGTTTATATTTCATAATATAGAATAATATAATTTAAATTTCTCAGGGCTGTCTAGTATTACAAAAGTTTTTAGAGTTATGACATTGTATGTTGTATTATATTGAAATGTCAATATAATGACTCTAAAAGTTGTTGTAATACTAAATGTAATCATTTTGATGTATGTGTAGAATAATAGAATTAAAATAGTATTTGGGCCATGTACTATTACCAACATTTATATTATATTATATTATATTATATTATAGAATTATTTATTAAAAATATTATAATATTATATTATTATATTATATTGTATTGGAATTTACAACACCTTTTCAGCTCTGGTGTCTGTAGATACTGTGCCGCCCCCTCATCAACACCTCTACATATCAATAAAAAAAAAACCCGACTCTGGCATTAAATTCACACTCTGCCTTCGCATGCCCTTTAGAAAGGATAGCTTCTGTAGTCTTATCTGAGACACATGATGAGTTTTTAATATCTGCGAGTGAATAGTTTTGCTTCAGCTATAAATAACAATGCCGATAGTACACAAAGGATTAAACGACCCTTTCCGTTTCTGATCAATGCTTTTGTGCTGGGTAATAGCTTTATTTTAGACAGCACTAGAAATCTTCTTCTCCATGAGGAAAACACAGTGTGGCATAATAAACTTTTCCTAACGTGGTTACAAATCAAAATTCTGTCATTATCTACTCACTCACATGCCATTCCAAACTCACATCAGTTTTTTTTTTTTTTTTTTTTTTTTTTTTTAGAATCGCAAGGTATCTCGCAATTGTGCAATTTATATTCTCACATCTCACAGTTGTAATGTTTATTTTCCCTCATAATTCTAAGTTTATATCTCAAAATAATTCTGACTGTTTACACATCAGAATCCTGAGTTTGCAGATTCTCAATTCTGCGAGAAAATTGAGAGTGAGAAAATGGTGACATAAAGTTCCCACGTAATCTTTCCTGGCCTCTCTGTCTACAGTTGTAATCTAGAGCATATTGGTAAAAACAGAAAGCGTTTGATCTATTATTCATGTTACTCTTTCAAGTTTGTATGTATATGCTTGTAAAGCAAGTACCAAGCTAAAAATATAAGTAAACACAAATGTTTCCCAGAATCATTGCACATTTATTGCCACACTCAGTGATTGTAAATTGGTTATCACATTAATAACCATGCAGTTTTCTCTTTAAAAATACTCATATGCCTTTCAGAAGCTGCTTGTTGCCACAAATATGTTTTGCTGGAAACCCAGTGTAATAATTTCAAAAGTCATATTATTATTTTTTTTTTATAGTATACAACCTCTTTCACCTCCAGCGGCCAGACTGAACTCAAACGTCCTCTTTGCTTGTACCTTGTGACCTTTCTGCATGAGATTGGCCCTTTATCCCTGCTCTCTGGCAGCTGTAAACACATTTTCTCTTAGCTGCATTACCCAGCGCCCTTTGCTTGTGCCCACATCCCGACCCTCTCTCTGCACCCCTTGCCGTTACATCCCTCATTTGTCTCTCTTCCCAGGTGGTTGTTCACACCAGAGCAGGTGAGCGGCTGTACCGAATCTCACCTTGGGCAAAGTATGTGACCAGGCATGAGAAGTCCGTCATCTATGATTGGGTACATTGGGACCCTCCTCAACCTTACATTGTAAGTGATTATTTCCCCCCAGCACCGGTGTGCCACAACCTTTTATTTTGTAGTGAACTATAATGGGTCCTCAACATTTTAACACTTCTATTTGTACATGTAATGAATTCTTAATTTAGATGACCATGTAAGTGAGAATAGTATGGAAGTTTATTTCTGCCACTTAATAAAAATGTAAAAAAGGTTATTGTGACTTTTTATCTCACAATTCTGACGTTTTTCAAAGAATTGCGAATTTATGTCCCAAAGTTCTAACTTTTTCTTTAATCAGAATTCTGAGTTTATGTCTTGCAATTCTAACTTTACTTTAATCAGAATTCTAAGTTTACATCTTGCAATTCTGGCCTTTTTCTTAGAATTCTAAGTTTACATCCAACAATTAAATTTTTTAAGCAGAATTCTAAGTTTACATTTTGGCATTCTTCTCTGAATTTTGAGTTTACATCTTGCAATTGTGATTTTTTTTCATGTAATTCTGAGTTTACATCTTGCAAATCTGAATTTTTCTTGTAATTCTGAGTTTACATCTTGCAATTCTGAAATTGTCTTGTAATTCTGAGTTTACATCTTGCAAATCTGAAATTTTCTTGTAATTCTGAGTTTACATCTTGCAATTCTGACATTTTCTTGTAATTCTGAGTTTACATCTTGCAATTCTGATTTTTTCTTGTATTTCTGAGTTTACATCTTGCAATTCTGAAATTTTCTTGTAATTCTGAGTTTACATCTTGCAATTCTGAATTTTTCGTGTAATTATAAGTTTATGTCTGGTAATTCTGATTTTTTTTCTTGTAATTCTGAGTTTACATCTTGCAATTCTGAATTTTTCTTGTAATTCTGAGTTTACATCTTGCAAATCTGAATTTTTCGTGTAATTATAAGTTTATGTCTGGTAATTCTGATTTTTTTATTGTAATTCTGAGTTTACATCTTGCAATTCTGAATTTTTCTTGTAATTATAAGTTTACGTCTTACAATTCTGACCAATTCTGGGAAGTCGTGGCCTAATGGTTAGAGAGTCGGACTCGTAACCCAAAGATTGGGTACCGGCAGGGATTGTAGGTGGGGGGAGTGAATGTGCAGC